ACTGCTTCACTGAGGTCAAACATATATGCAAAACCTTTCTTACAATAGATAAAGAGAGGACAGCACATTCATCACATCTTACATCTGTAAATTGTTCATCAGTTGCCTTTAGTGGTTTTCATTTGGTAGGAAGGTATGCAAGTCCACTTTGCAGTTGTTCTACATTTAGCACTTACTCTGAAGTATTTTCCAAGATTCCAAGTTTTAAGGAGGGGCAGTAGTGACAGCAGTACTAGCACTGTCCCTCTTTACTACCAGTAGTAGGTTAGAAGCAGCAACACCAGGTTGTTCAGAGGGCAACTACAGTGTACACTCACCTTCCTCTACCTAGTCCAGGAGAGGAGTCAACGCTGGTCTGTTCCATCCGTCCAGTTCCTACTTCCCTCTTGGTATAACTCGTAGTAGCATTCTGCATCCGTGTCCTGTTCTGTCCCGGCTGCCGCGTCTGTGGACTCCTGACGCCATTGATTAAACGATCAGCAGAAAAGTTGAATATTGTAGGACTGTCTAGAAGCCCAGGTCCCCTTTCTGCACTGGGTATTGTATGTCGTATATGAGACTTGCTAGGATTCCTACAAATTCAAAAGTCATTTCAACACACGTACTATGAGAGATCTTCTGAGGCCCAAGACTGTATACAGAATTCAGAAGCAGCAAGATCTTCAGTCCTTTATTGCTTATTTCATTTATAAGAATGGTAAGTATTCATTTTAATAGGTCATACGAACTATCAAAATTAAGCTTTTCACTATCTTTTTCCAACTAAAAAGTAACTGAAACTACTGTATGAATAATCCTGCTGATATCAGGCCATCATTCAGATTATTTCACCTGAATACCCTAAATCATGGAACAGAGCTTCTCAGCTTTTGGACAGCCCATTTACATTTAGAAACAGTACTTCCACTAACAATAGCAGCACCATCTGCCCTTTGGCCTCACTTAACCTTGCACCTGGTTCAATTTCACAAGTATTTTCAAGCTAGCTGGTGTTACTAAAGTAAGCAGATTAAAACCCCCATGTGCCAGAAAATAAAATGGTATGTATATTGTTAACAGACAGTTGAACTTGCCTGTTCCTTGGAGGATATTGTCTGAGTGTAGTCAGTGGAGAAGCAGCAGGCTTGAAGGTTGGAGATGTGAACCCATTGATAAATCCAGTATTTGGAAATGGTGTTACCTAAAGAATACATTGCATGCTCATAATTATAAACAGACTGAGTACTGATTTTAATTAACCCTGTATTTTATGTCATACTTTGCAGCACAGTACTTAAAACATTGGCTCAAACAGCAACAAAGCATTTGTCCAGTGCCTTGTAACCGACTCACAAAATGTTAGGTTTTGAGAAGACAGCCACTACACGCATTCAAGTTCTGATAATTTGATAAGAGAATTGAAAAACAGAGCCAAAATTCTTGGCTGTAAGTTAAGTAACATGACTTCTATTTCACACCATACTATGCATGACTTTGGGGTAGAGATACTTCAGGTCTCTACCCTGCACAGCTTGTAATTTTCTTTTCTCCTAATTTATGTACAAATCCCTCCCTAGTAAGAAAAACACCCTACTTTTTAGTTCCTCATTCTACTTATCTTCCACATGAAACCTGAATAAAGCCTAGGAAGAAGTGGCTGTTACATGGAACGCTAATTCTTTTCACATCTTACCACCTTATTCTACATGTGCATTAAGGCCTTGTTGCCCAAAGAAGCAACATTAGCAAAAGATTTTTTGGGTGGGTGCTTATCAGTGTATTGTATTAACAAAATAGCTCAAAATTTGAAGCATGTTCACAATAATTACTCCAACCTCACTAGCAGATTTTTTTTTTTTAATGTATGAATGAGTTTCATTTAGGAAATGTTATTATTAGCAACAGCAAACGCTTGTCTTCTCCCCGTGCAAGTAACTAAAATGCAGAACAGTAAGACTTCTATGCAGCACACTCTACACTTAATGAAATGATTAGAAACAGCTGGGATTATGACTGTTCCCTATAAAGGTATCCAAGTTTGTCTAACCTTTCTTGCAAAAGTTAAAGCAAATGACTTCACTGAAAAATGAAATTTAACACCAAAGCTGTCATGCCAAACTACTGTTAGCCTAACCTAGCACACATGACAGCAAATGCTACCTCAGACTCCAAAAATAGGCCATTAGGAGTTTAATAAAGTTATTTTAGGAACGGAGTTTAATCAAAATACTGCTTTGAAGTGTTTTTTGCTTTAATAGTTAAAACTTGAACACTGGAAAATTCAATCAAATCTGCTACTGAACCTGAATAATGCAGAGACATTGAGCATACTAAACAGAGACAAGTTTAACACACTGCTTCAAGGGACACAAGCAGTATTTACCCCTTCTTTCTTCTTTAGAGGGAAAAACGTTATTTTCTTTTCCCAATAATATCAAAAGCATGAATTCGTTTCTCCACAGAAGTCATGTGGCTCAGAAGTGTATATTTATTTTTTTTTTTTAAACGAGCAGGACAAACTGGATCTTTCCTCAAACAGTATGAAGTACTTGATGAAGAAAACATGTAGTTTTAGAACTCTGAGAACACATGGTGCCATATTCTAGTTTCAGAACTAAAACTGTATGCCCACATTATTTGTATTTGATCACAAGTTAGAGATGAGACAAAGCACTGTAAGTATTCATACCAAAGCAGAAGAGGAGAGAAACTTCCACTACATTTGCACACAAGTTTACATGCAAACTGCAACCCTGTCTCATGAAAGTTATTCCTGTCACTGTTTCTCATGGTCCCTGTTCTCCTCACTAGTGATTTCTATTCAAATAGAGCTCTTCCCATAAAATGGCCAGGAAACATCACACTGCATTAATATACACAAAATGCAGCCAGACAACATACTGCAAAAGACTGGGAGGCAAAGGTCTGCCAGTTAATGTTCTGATTTTACTTAGAAAAGCATGAGAACTTTAATGCTGGCAAACGAGTAACGTCTTACCCCAGATGGCAGGACTAGGAATAAAAGAAGTTCTGGGATGACATGAAGCACATACACACTACGCTGTGCTTGAATCTGTGGCCAATTGACCTACATCATCTACACCCGTGCTACCCAACTACTTCAGCATCCCACAGCAAGACTGTGCAATAGTCAGTCTTTGTTTATCTAGAGGAAGAATCACATTTGTTGCTGCTCAGTAAGGTGGCTTTCTCCTAGTAACATTGTTCACTAGATGCTACTTTGTCTCCCCCACATTCTTTATCCCCCTCAAAAAGCTTTCCCCTGCAAGGGCTCTGGCTACCTTCCCTGTGTGTGAAGTGTTCAGCACACCAACTTTTTAATTAGCTGCTGTTCAGCACACAGGAAGTTTGCTCAAGTTTGTTCAAAGACACTTTAATCCTCTGCCAAAAAACACTTTTAAAAGCTTCTAATTTTGAGCATTGCTACCTTAATTTCTTTTAGCCGCAAGTAAAGAGGCATTTACAGAGGGAAGAAAGAGGTTCCACACAGGACCACCTTAGTCTCCCACTAATGACTGGGAAAACTGTACTCTTACTTGTTTTGGTAGGATAACAAAGGCAGACTAAAACAGGCCAAGGTAATTCCAATGGGCCCGTCTCATTGGAGGAGATGGAAGCAGCATTGCAGGATGCAGCAGATGTCCCACCAGAATATATAAAGACTTATTGCTACCCTCCTAGCTCTAAGGCTTACCAACAGCACATTCAAGAAAATTTTTAAAATGAAGCAGTTTAAGTGAATTATTTTTTGAATTGACCGAAGTAATTTTGTTCAAGAATAACTTTTTCTTGGCAATAAAAAATAATTCTGCTTTAAGAACATGCTGAATAGGGTAATTCAGCATATTAACGTAGCACTTAATTCTCCTGCTGGAAGATCAAGATCCCAAGTTATCCTTATTTATCTGATACCAATAAGTTTATTCATTACATAACAGAATTGCTTTTTCTGGTATTCATATACATATTCTGAATATCTAATTCCTAAAGAGGCTTTTAGCCATTACTAGAAGCAGCCTTTAGTAAAGATATCTTTGGGTAGTGGTTAATTAATTATCTTAACTAAAAGGTTAAGAAGAGAATCACTGCAACCTGAGAGAGGATGCAATCTTCAAATAATTCATCTTGTACACCACAGGAAGAATTTTGAAGAACTGTTTTTCAATAAGTATCTCCAACTCCCCTGTGAGGATACATGTGCTTCCTACACCTCAGGACTTCACAGGAAATGATACCAACTTTGAAAAGAAGGCAGCTGTTTGAGAATCAAGAGACTTACCAATGAGGGGTCAAGGTAGCTGTGTGTGGCTGACCAGGTATGTGGGCCGATTAAGCTGTACAACGGAAACTGCTGGTGGGGACTGTATACTGGAGGTAAGTAAAAGGATGTTGTATAACGCTGCTGCGTGTAGAGGTTCATATCCAGGGGTCTATATCCATTCTTTGGCAAAAATGTGTTTATAGCTATTGCCTTTGCTTTTATTCTTGCCTGCAAAGGAGATTAGATTATTTATTACAGCAGTCTTTCAAACTAAATCAGGACAGTTCAAACTAGCAGCTCTCAAACTTTTACTGGACACTTGTCAGTCACTGCTTTCTCCTTCAAGGAAGGCAGGAACAGCTGAATGATTCCCTGCTGGCCTGATGCTGGGATGGGTATTATCGCTGCCAGAAAGGAGGAAAAGGAGAAGTCAAATGGCCTGTGCTACATTTCAAAACCCATCTCCAGGTCAAATGGCTGTTGAGATTGGACCACTTAAATTTATATTAGAAAACAGCGAGTCCCACAAAAAGCAGAACATATACACGCATGCCCCCAAAAAACACAGAGCTCTATTTACCTTAATTGGTTTTCCTTGGAAAGTTTTCACTTCTTCTCTAAGGTATCTGTAAGCCTTTAAAAAAATAATTATAACATATGTCAAATATAATTTAAACAAAGGGAATTTAAGCTTTGACAAGCTAAGCCTAACAATACTTGAAGTGTTTACTAACGTTAGACTAAGCAAACCCTCATAGGCAATCTGCATTTTATTTAAATTATCACTGCAGAAACCAAGATTTTAATTCTCATGAGTGAAGCTTTTCTATATGTCCAAATTATTAATCATCTTAGTACAAAAGACTACAGTTTTTGCCAGGAAGCCAAGAGGTGTGAACAAAAAGCTCTTACAGGGTTATGTTTAATAGTACTGATAAGTGGATATTAGCTAATGGGAAGCATTGTTTTTAGATGTTTGGGTATTTTTCTTTTTAAATTGTTACACATCTGTAATACATTTACAACCCATCGATCCACCCTCCTCCCACCCCTATCTGCTGTTATATTCTAAGATGCTCCCCAAAAGACAGTCTTACCTGCTGTGCATCGGCTTCAGATTCAAATGTGATGAACCAATTGTCATTGTAGGCAAACTCACAGTTGATAAACTTAGGCAAATTATCTCCTTTGAAAAGTGCTTCAACCTCCTAAGGAAAGTGGTTTTGGTAAGAAGGGTGGGAGAAGAAAAAAGGATGGACAGAAGAAAACATCAGTTTAAAGTGCAGAACTCAGGAACTCCAGGTTAAAAAGAGAAAAACACTTTCAGGCTTACAAAACAAAACTGAACTTCAGAACACCTGCAGGTGTGTTAGCTCTCTGCAATCTCCCTGGCTAGCTGGAAGGAATACAAGCAAGCATTGTTTAAGGTCATACTGCAAGTACAAGTTGCCTGCTCCTTTTAAATCACGGGAGATAAGCTATTGAGGCCATAGAGAAGCACTTAAATTTGGCATCAGGCACAGAAATGTGTCTATTTCTTCCCTGTCCCGAAAGCCACAGAGCCACACAAAAACCTGTGCATATTGCATGGGATAGGAGCACCCTGCCCTTGCAGCAGAAAGATATACACTTTAACCCAAGTACCTATATATTAATATACTTGAAGCAGGGTTTATCTGGAACTAGGGTGTTGGAACTAGATATCTTTAAGGTCCCTTCCAACCCAAACCATTCTGTGATTCTATGTTACCTCAAAAATAATTAGCTAGTTTCTACAGAATAAACACACCTTGGACTTCATATCTGGTTTAATCCATTTCCAAATTTATTTTTGTCACAGCGTTCAGACAAGCAGCATCAAAAAGCAATGCAACCTGGAAGGCCCTAGAGTATTTTGGAACTTTGCTGCTTAAACAAAGACTGACCATGGTATGCCAGAAAAATATAACCCATAAAAACTGGTGGGTTAAGTCTAGATTTTCCATTCTAGCAAATTTAAACACATAATGTCTAACACTTCACTTCATACCAGTTCTTCTGAAAATAAAGACTCCTCAGAACTTTGCTGCTGTTAAGCATTTAAGAGCCACAATCCTGTGCTAATCTATCCCACCTGACAAACTAACAACAGCAAAATAATCTATAATGTTAAAAGCTAGGCAGTCTTTGAAAGGCTACATTGCATTCAGAAAGCTAAAAGCAACTAATGTTTAAGCTCTGCAGATGGCATAACTTTGTCCCTCCAGTTTCTTTTCGCATTTTGTTTCATGCTCCTGTTTAAGGCCACTAACTCCTTTATTATAAGCTTTTAAACTGCAGTACTTTTATTTTTGTATGAAGACTATCAAGAAGAGCAACTACTTCAGAATCTTTATTCTTTCTCGTAAAAATCAAACAGGGGAAATTAAAATATCTACCCATCATCAAGAATCCGTGCCTTTTCCTCCCTTCTAAAAATTCAAGATGGTTTAATCTATAGCCCAGTAATGGTGGGGTTTTTTTTTTCCTAGTCTTCCCATTAGTCATAGTCCCAGCTACAGAGTTGCTCTGGATATCTTTCAAAGATTCATTCTCCACTCTTAAGAGATCTTCAGTGAGTTGTTGACACCTCTACCCTCAGCACTAAGGAAATGTTTGCAAAGCTTTAAGTACTTTACTCAGCAACCTTTAAGGTGCAGCAGTGGCATTTTCCATTCTAAGACTAAGCTTCCCTCATCTTTGATTGCTACTTATCTACAGAGCAGAGTACTTAGTGCATATTGGTAAGCCAGGGCCCAAGAAAATTATGGTATCTCTACCAATTGACACCTCTACCCTCAGCACTAAGGAAATGTTTGCAAAGCTTTAAGTACTTTACTCAGCAACCTTTAAGGTGCAGCAGTGGCATTTTCCATTCTAAGACTAAGCTTCCCTCATCTTTGATTGCTACTTATCTACAGAGCAGAGTACTTAGTGCATATTGGTAAGCCAGGGCCCAAGAAAATTATGGTATCTCTACCAAACACAGCACTACCAGTGTTTCAGCCCTCTGCAGAGCTACAGGTTTTATCACAGTCCTCCTATGGGCAACATGCTTCTATCAAATATATTTATTAACTAAAAACACACGTACTAAACTAAAGTTAGTTTAGAAACCCACCATGTAGTAAGAAATGTGATCTGCTTACTGAAATCTGGAAGAAATCAAACTTCCAAATCCTAAGGGAAAAGCATTCTTAATTGAACAATGAAACACTTACTTCAATGGGGGTAGATTCAGGTACTTCACGTAAAATCACAATGCAGCGATTCTGGTTTGGCCTAACTTTTTCTCCCTTCTCATCCACTTGGACTAAAGGCAACGCTAAGAGAGAAGAGACATAGGTATTTTAGCTGGCAGCAACCATAATAGCTTTGCACACCAAAAGATGCTGTGGACAATTTTACAATGCAAAGCTTTATGTACTAAACTTCTAATATCTTTTAACATTAAAAAACAAGTAGAAGATGACAAGATCCTTTCAGATATATGAAGCTAATTAGACTTGTTCCTTAAGATCTCCACACTCTTCCCACTTTTCCAGCCTAGAGAATACCAGTATTTTTCTGTTATTTCTTTTAAGGCACATATTGAGTCATGTTCTTTTTTATTCTCACCTTAGTGGTAATGTTCAGCAGCCTTTTCTGGGAATTTAAACTCACATTATACTCATTTACATATATCATTATTCTGTAGCTCAAATGCAAAATAGGTTTGGTTAAACTGCAGTCTTATAATGGTAATGGTCTAAACTGGAAACTGCTTACTCTATTTAATGGTTTACAGAAAAAGGATGGCATTTTATTGCATTACATAAAAAAACCAGAAAATCTGGATTAATAGTCCTACAGCAATAACCGAAATGCTTTCTGATGTTGAGGGATTTTTACTTACATCTCAGCACTTCAACAATCAAATCCATATCAGTACTGAGTTTCTTGACATGATCGAGGTTTGCTACTGTCATTATTGGCACATACTGATCACTGTCCATCTGTGATATAAGGTACATGTCACTGGCGAGATTCTCTCTGTTGGGAGAGGAAAAAAAAAAAAGGGGAAATGTCACCGATATCACTTTTGCCAATCAAGATGATACAAACACTCACACAGAAAGCAGATTCCTACACTATATTTTGTTCCCAGCATTTTCACCAACTCCCCCATTCATTCACCTACTATATCTATACTGGAATGTGTATGACTGAGCCCTTAATTTATAACTTAAAATATAAAGGGAACTGCAGATGCACATACAGAAGCCCTATCGACAAATTTTAAAGTTATTAGCTTAAACAAAGCTTATCAAATGGCTGTGTTACCTCCCCCGAATTCTCATTCTTTCCACTCAGTTTTAAATGACAGGTGTGAAATACAGTAACATATAACCCAAGTTAGGTACTGGATCTTGTAAGTTAATCCCCAGTTTGATACATTTAGGTATACACATACCTGGATAAGCAGAATTCCAGTGTTTTTTTCAGCAATTCTCGTAAATCTTCCTGACCTTCTGGCTGCAGCTGTTCGTTTCCACCTAATCATTAAAATACTTAGGTTTAACATTTAGTTCTTCTGTAGCACACAAGATATATTTTAATCAAGCCATCATGTCTACTACTGGCTATCTAACTAGTAACAAATTCTCAAATTCAATAAATATTGATTGTGTATTAGTTCACCACCCAAAAAAATTGCACAGAAACACTTTATGTAAGGCAGAAAAGAAAACACATATATCTGACTTCACTTATTAACATCTGTTCTCCAAACACGTATATATTGAAGTATTTTTAGAAGAGCAGCTACAAACACATCTCAAGTAAATACTGAGCTGATTTAGCTGTATACCTTTCTTCCAGCCTTAGGAAACTAACCAGTCTCTAGCTGACTACACCCTGACTGACACAGCTGACTAACACAGCACACAGGGAATGTAATGGAGGTGGCTTCATACCTCTGGCCTCACTCTAAATTCCCAACACTAATTCAAAAATGAGTTTCAAAAACCTAGTACTGAAATATCAGAAGGTATCAAATCAACTAACAGATGTGCAATCAATTAATAATTTCTTGGTTATGAAGGAGAATTTTCTTCTTATACTTGGAAGTCGCAAAATTATCACATAGAAAACACTAATTTAATGATCATTTTAGTTTAGACTCAATATACTAAAGTCAGTTGAGGGTAAACTAATTGTGTCAGTGGGAGAACTGTTTAAAGATCAGAACTTTAGTGGGGCTTTTAGATTTACACAACATTTAGTAACATGTTACATAAATGTAAAGTAGTATTTCACACCAACTATTACCCTCTATACTCTTCCCTTCTTCAGTAATTTTCATCCTTTTCTTGGGCTCTCCTTAACCCTTCTTCCTAAAGCAACTTCTAATTTCCTCCCACCGTTCTGTCCTTCATGTGCTCTATTCTGATGCAGGTAATTCCAACACCTATGAAATACACATATCATGTACTAAACACTACTTCCCTTCTCCATCTCCTCTTTCTTCCTTGCCCAAAAACTAGCAAAAACCAAGATCACATGCATTTTTTTAAAATAAGAAAAAAGAAAAATGAGATTTCAGAGTTGGGACCACCTATGTTAACTATTCATCAAGAGGAATAGGCCCGACCTACTTTCAGCTGCTTTACAACACTATCTGACTCTTGTTAAAAGTTAACTATTTTTGGCACATACAAGACATACTGACAAATTCTAACACTAAGCTGAGGAACACTGTTCCCTTCTAGTGAGCTACGCAACATTAGTGTTTTCTATTTGCCAGTTAGTAGTTGTTAATTATTCCCTGTTAGTACCCTTAAGTAGAAGGGTCAAAGAGAACTGTTTTCAACAAGAATGCTGCCACACTGTGTCCGATGTCAGTTGTCTTGACTTTCAACTATTATGCATGTTATAAAATCAGCTGAGCACAATGAACAAGCAGAAGACCTCTCATGAACCTCAAGAAACACCCAGCACACATTCATCTCCTTCCTATTCCTCATCTCAGTAATCCTACATGCACCTTGCAGACCTTCTGCCCCTTTCAATGACATATAATCATAGCTGAATTTCTATGCTAGCTTCCAGAAGTTTCTTAAAACATGCCATTTGGTATAGACTACAGCTACTAAGAGTTGCACTGAAAAAAATTATGAAAGTTCATTAAAAAGGAACACAAAGAAGTTAAACTAAATTGTTACTTATAATGCTAAAATAATAAGCACAGGACTCATCTTTAAACATATTAACATTCCTACTTAAGACACAAATGGTATGTGCATTTCACCTCAGTACCTGACCCGACTAGAAACGTGCAGCTCAGGTAGATACCTAAATGTAAACATCTACACTAGGGACTTGCATTCAGAATAACACTTCAGAAAACAATACTTTGTTATATCCAGAACTTATGACCAATTCTGTGCAGTATCCAAGGCCTATACTCAAACAGAAGGAGACTGACTTCCATATACGTCTAAGCCCGACAGCAAAAGAGACAGGATTTTCTGGGTTCTGTTTACAGAACACATAGATTGAACAGTGAAAGTGGTGCATGATTTTTTGGAGGTTTTTTTTTAATGGTTGCTCACTGTTCAACTCCAAATATGTGCATTTATTTTAAACCAAGTCCAAGCAAATATCAACTCTTACCTGTCTGAGTGGTTTCATGTATAGACTCATACTCAGAATGATCGAGTGCCAAAGGGTTCATATCTGTCTGGTCTGACACCGAAACAGCTGGTGATGGCTCCTGCAGCTCTGTCAGCACTGCATTCTGATGCTTTTTGTTGCCATCACCATTGGCATCCAGTCCTGCAGCAGATATGACAAACATACTTAAAGAGCATTCCTTCTCTTCTCAGTAACATCATAGCTAAAACCAAATCTGAAGTGAAGTTGCTTACATGTTTGCATTTTTTTAACACGAAGTTAAAACTGACAAGGTTCTGCATTACATTTTACATTTTGCTTGAGCAACAGCTAGAAACTTACTCATACCTTCTTTACAAGAATCTGGAGGTTGGTCAGGTATTTCTTCCCAAGTTTTGCTCACGCTACCATCAGTGGCACCACTTGCTTCCAAATGTAACATATGATTTCCCCACACCTTTGCATTAGGATTTAACTCAGAAACCTTGGTGGACTCCTACAAAGAGAAATTTCTTTGATTATGCATTTTGAGGATGCAGAGCACACATCTGTGTTATCTATATACAGTTTCAAAGAACACTATAAGATATACAACTCAAGATTGTTTTGTCAAGGGTTTTTTCCGCATCTGAATACATTAACTGAATTGTCATCCCGTAACAGTTCAGGTACAAAAACAACTGCATTTTGCAGCACAGAATTCATTTCCCTGATTAAGCATCACCAGAAAAGGTTAGCCAAGCAAAGCAAACTACAAAAACAAAAACATTTAACTCTTCGCTTTTGACAAACTAACCCAACCAGTACTTGCTCTCGACCTCAGGCAGCTCTTTCATACGCATCTTAACTCAGGGTTGACTACATTGTCATTCCATATGTTTCTGTGAAATAACATTTAAAAAATTAAAATACAAAAGCACAGTGGGTTTTTTCCCTCTGGAGTTACACAAATATCTACCAGTTTTAAAGGAGCATTATGGAAAACTGAAAACAGTAAGATGTTCCGGACAACTTCTGTCATTACTTCAAGAACAAAAAAACAGCGTTAACAAAAACTTGGTTAGTTTTCCCTTAAGAAGGAGAAAAAGAATGAATTCCCAGATGCAGTTAAATCATCTTAGGCCCATCTCCTTTGACCTGGATTGGAAATGGACACATTTAATGGTCATATATGGTTACATATAACCATTATATAAATGGTTATATTTGTACTTCGGAGAGATTGCTCTCTGCAGTGCCAACATCTACAATACTTTTTTGATAGTAACATGAGTCTGTTTTCTCTTGTTTTGTTAATGTTTGAGCAAAACACAAAGTTATTCCCTACCCAGACCATCTTTGGTATATTTTAATATAATACAAAAAGAAGGAGTATCACTCATCATAACACATACTGAAAAAGCTTATTAAAACTGCTTTTGTGAGTTTCAGGATGCTAGGAACATCACAGAGTTTAAGATAGGCATTTTACAACTCCATGAAGCTTTAAGTATTTAGAAACATATGCACTCAGTCATTATCATAGTGCACAGAAAGTATATCCAGAAGGTAAAAAGATCTAAGGAATCTCAACGTAAACACACCTACTGAATAACAGAGAAAAGTCTTATGAAAAATTGGAAGCATTTGACTTAACTACTTCAATAGTAAGAATTCAAAGATGACAGCAATTTCCATCACTTTCCATATTTAGCACAAAAAGTCCTGCCAGGAGATAGCAAACAGCCTCTAGTACAATCCATTGCAACTCTGGGCAAGGTCAGAGCAGCTGCTGTAACGCAGTTGGTGCAGAGAACAATACTAAGCACTGGCTCTGCTCAGCAGGGAAGACGAGCAGCAGCTGCCCCAGGTCAGCTTCAGTTTCTCTCTTACCCCAGCTAGCCAAGATCCAGCCTAGCTCCTTTCCCACATTTCCTCTGCAGCCACTCCTTTCTACAGCACTTCACAAGATCATCTCCGTAAGTGAGCGAAACATTTCCTAACTACTTCCAAGAAAGGATTTTAAGATTTCTGGAAATCCACAAACATTTCTTCCTATACGAAGGTAAAGAGCACTATGAAGTTTGTAGAAAGTTTCCCTTCCACGTACTGAAGCATTTGTCTCAAGCTCATGTAGAGCTGAGACGCTGCAATCGAGACACTTTGCCCGATGTTTAAACTTTCATGCAAGGTAAACAGAACCAAAAAGAAAAAATATTTCAATATTATGAATATTTTGAACTACAAGATTCAGTTTTGTTAAGTGATCAGCTTCAGAACAAAATAACATCTGAAAAAGTTAACCATCTAACGAAATCATAGTTTGACTTGGCTTATTTCAATTCTTAGCTTCAGCTTTAAACCTTAACATTAAATTGCTTCTGCAGAATACTTACAAATTCATCTTTATCTTGCCATCGCCAAGCACCAACATTTTCTGGTGCCAGCAGCTGATACGGGTATCTTCCCACTGCATATGAAGCACCTGTTAAATCTTCAAGTTCATTCTGGAAGTTTTCACTAACTATACAGAGTCTGTCATCCTTCACAGTAGTGTTCGAAATGGTGTTATTCCACAAAAAGCCCATCAGATATTCACCACTGCCAGCAGTAACCGTGTCAGAAATTTGCTGATTTGTCCAATCAGCATCGCCAGCCTGGAGATCGATGAAATGGGACCATATTTCAACTTGGGGATTTTGTCCGTCCAACTCATAGAAGTGCTCTAGGTCACTCGCAATGTCTTCCATCAGATCCAACACACACCTCTCACTGCCTCGCTGAAATCCTGCGGCACTAGGAGAGGCACTGTGTATTTCGTAGGAAGGAGTAGCAGCATATTTGTCTACCTGCTCTGGGTCAACAAAAACTGCAAGCTCTTTGTTTGAGAAAACCTTGTGATCTGACTGCATCTGTTCCCAACTTGTGGTCAAGTCATTCATTTGAGTATTTAATATGTAACTGGTGCTTCTCAGTTCAGTAGTCTGGGCTTCCAACTGCTTGAAATTCCCCATAGTAAAAGCTTCTGGATTCACAGAGAGGTTCTCTTCCTTTGTGTGGATACTGACACACTGTTTCACTTCACTATCCTGAAGATTACATTCCTGTACATCACACGCACTGGTTTTAAGAGCTGCTGACCCTACTTCAGCCAACGGCCCAACAGAAGCTTGGGTGTTCCTGACCTCTGGCTCTGAACCGGCACAATGACATAACTCAGGCTCTTCCACTGGTTTATCACACACTTGAGAACATGAAATTTGACATAATGAAGGTAAATAATTATGGGCTTTACCTAAGAGATTATTGGCATCTTCCAGATTTTTAGAGTAATTTACCAATTTTACACTCTTGTAGACACAATTGTCCAAAGCTACAGGTATAGTGGAGTTAGAGTAAGTATTTGGATTGTGAGTCAAACCTTTATTGCAATTTAAGATGTTTGTATCACTATCAATAATGTTAGCATCCAAACTTTGTTTTACATTTTCTGCTTTATCAATTGTCTTGTTCAGGTGAACTTCAAACTTCGCCTGTTCTACAGATTCTGCTACATCCCCAGCTATTTTGCCCGAGTCAGTCCCCGCATTCCATTCATTTTCCACTGTGTGGAAGGAACATACCTCCCGTTCTTCATCTTGCCTACAGTTTATGTCCATTTGATTCATATCCTCAGGTTCCACAGACACAGAAGAGCCATTGTTTTTGTAATCTGAATTTGAGTATTTGCATACTTCACCTTCATTCCCTGATGACTCTTGTGAAATCTGAGATTCTAGGCCATTTTCCTTTTGGAACATTTCACCTGCACTTGTGTTATGTAGCTCATGAGACATCAAAGTGCCATCACTTACCCGTGATTGAGTTCTGCTCGAGCTATCAGCTTCCTCAAGCATGTCACCTTCTAGCTCAATGGTACTCACACAGGCACCTTCCTCCATGCCACTATGGTTTGCAACTTTGGCTGATGTCTTGTTTTCAGTGCAACCCTTAATTTGAGTTTGAAAATCAGAACCTTCTTCCAAGTTTTCATGCGTTTCAGTCTCATTCAAAACTTCACAGCTATGTGAAACTGTACCTGTGCATTTCTCTTTATCTTCCATGAATTCTTCCAAAACATCGTGTTGTTCACTAGAGTCAGGTTCAAGGCTTTGGCTATCACCATATGTTCTTGGAAGCGGCCTCTTTTCCTCACTCGAGCTTATTTCACCTTCTGGAGTTCGGAAGCAGCCTTCCTCAGCAAGTTTTTCTACGTGTTGACTCACCAAAAAAGAATCATTATCCACCTCACATAACTCCAATGATAATTTCAAGTTACCCCTCACGTTCTCTGCCAACTGTTTAGTATTTATTTCCCTTACAACACTTGAGGGATCCCTACTTAAACTAAACGGTATAATCTCAGAATCATGACTTCCCTCAATTTTTCCAGAGTTATATACTCCAGTGTTTAACAATTCACTGGAAACACAACCACTGTGTTTCAAGTTTTCTGAAGTAGGGCTGTACTGGTCCTCTTCAGCAGCATTCGCATATTTTACAGAATCACAAGCTCCACGGAGCGATTCATTCCAACAGAAAGCATTACCTATGGCAGGTACCTCCTCTCGTTGATTCTCAGGGAGAACTTCACTGTACACTTCTGCTTTTACTCTATCTGTTACTCTGTCAGTATTTAACCTATGCACCTGGCACCTGTTAGCCAGAAAGTTATCATCAGTAGACTGGATTGCTGTGCTACAATATTCCTTTGTTTCCTTTTTCTGCATGTCTGACCTATCCTCTTTTTTATAGTCAAACAGTTCTTTCTGTGAATTAAACTTAGCTTCCACTTGTGCCGATTGCTGCACTGGAAATTCCTCCCCAGTGTCTAGAGGTCGTGCCATGCTGCACATTCCTTCATCAGTAACAGCTGAGTTATCTATGTCTGCTGCAGTCTCTTCACACACAGTAGCTGGCATCTCTTCATCCCCTTTCAGATCTTCAGCATCTACAACACAAATACTGTAAAACTCCCTATCTTTTAGATTTTGTCTGTTGTCTACATCAAGATAGGAAAATGTTGGAGACATCTCTCTGTGTGAAGTCGAAACTTTTTGTAGGCTGTCACACTTGCCATTTTCAATGTTTACTGTTGCTTCATTGTGCCTTGAATGATCACATGTAACTGCATAATCCTCCAGAAAATTTCTATTTAAGGAAATGTCACCATCTAAGTCTTTGTCCAAGATGTCTGGTACATGTGAAGCAGAAATATGATCAAACAAACAATGCTTTTCTCCAGCTACATTTTCATTATTAACACTACTAGTAATATTTTCCTTATTGTTCACGTGCTGAGCATTACTATTAGATTTTTTAGGTGTTCTTTTTTTAATAACCCTATCTTTCTTTTCTTCACTTTTCTGCAGATTCCCGTATGTACCAGAGACCTTCAGGAGGTGACTAAAGGAATTAAAGAAGCTAAAAGGTCTGTCATACGCTCTCCTAGAGCTCTCACAGGGAGTATTCTCCACG